AACCCACGTGCAACGCAATCCCAACAGTTATAAACACCACACAAAAGATCAGTCAAACAATCGCAAGGATGCCGCCCGACTTTCAATTGATAGCACCCATTTCAATTCTATCATAGCCATAGCAGAATGCAAATGTCTTTCCCAAGGGTGCACTCAGTTTCCTCCTGAACCTCAGCCCGACAAAACTGCATTCACAATCGCCTTCGGCTTTTGTCCAACAAATAGTATGCCTGGTTCTGGCCATTGTGAACCTGAATATGTTTTGAACATACAAAGATCGGTCTACCAAAAGGTAGGGATTTAATAACTCCAGTTTAGCTGAACACCTGTGGTGGGTGACTGACTTCGGGTTGCACGGTTCTGGGTTGCCCGGTCTGGAGATTTGGCCGAATGATCAGAATGAGTCGTGGACTAATTTGAGACCGAATCAAGTCATGATCATGGGAGTAACGCCCCTCAGTCTGATTGGTTGCGACTTGAGGGAAATCAAGCACCCTTTGAGGCTCAAGCCAGTTTGAAGTGGGCAAGAAAAAACGTAACCCCGGTCTGGAATGATATCTACACAAATCAATAACGTTCACTGACCGGAAACCAGGAATTCCCAAGAGAAGGACTTTTAAAGGAGATCGTGTTACCTCCAGGTGAGCCCTTTATGACTTGCGCCTCCTTTTCAAAGCAAAACCCAGTAAACCAGGCCCCCAAAATGGGAGGCTCCAATCAATTTCAGCAGTGCCCAAAACCTACTTAGAAGTACCAGCACTGTAAAGTTAAGTAAAGGTTTGTATTGGTCGCAGTACAATCCGCACTAAAACAGGTAGTATATCCAACATGACCAACAGGGGAATTTCAGCGCTCAGTTGGATGAGGAAGCCATTTGCTGAAGCCCGTCCCAGCCTGCAAGGGGCACTGGCAATTTCCGTCGATGCGCTGCATCTCCGTGTTGAAGGCTATCTCGTACCTTGCACTCAACGGTTCTTGGTGGACGTTGGAAGGGGAGCAACAAATTAAATCTTAGCAGTTAAGTGGTGGGATTCAACCACTAAACCACAATAAACAAAAATGCAAAAAATGTTTCCTGAGTCGTTTCAATGACTCAAACTGTCACACCTCAGAGTCTCCCCCTCGCAACTCGTAGAATTGAAGATCAAGTAAGGGCCACCTCCGAGGGCCAAACCACTGACGGCCACCAAAGGGACCTTAGGACCTTTCGGGCATCCAGAGACTCGGGTTGGGCCTTTATTCCAAAGCCAAGTAGAAGGCACCGGGGCCACCCCTGTTCAGGGATTCCCCTTTTAAGGCGCCGTTTGATTTGTTCGGGAACTCCTCCAAACCTATGAAATATGTTACCCCCATGAGTGTGAAAGGCAACCAGCCTCAGACTCAGCGATCACTTGAGCAGCACCGAAACCCACTTTGGGTACCAACCGCTTGTGAAGCAGCCCAAAGCCGATATTTCTGTTGGCCCAAGAGTGGACTTTTGCCAAATCCATTTCGCACCATTCAGAAACCCTGGTTTCTGATGATGTCCACTATGAATACCAACAAACAATGGCTTTCCATGCTTTCAAAGTGGGGCAAGATTTTGTCCATCCACATGGGTGTGGGTCAAACATAGGTAGCGAAAATGGGCTTGGTCGGGTAAATGGAAACAAGGACTAAAGGCTGCGGTCCGATTCCTGGTGGTTCACCCATACCCATATTTGGCAATGGAAAGCGGCAATATGAATCGATCGGACCCCCCGGCCTCAGGCGGTTTTGCCGGAGCACCATGAGCTCGCAATCGCCTTTCAAACGACGGCGGACATTGGGTCGGGCGCGAATGGATTCGCAAGTCTGAACGTTGGTTCACCACACAAATTGTCTTTCCCAGAAGAATTGGGAGTAAGCTGATGTTAATGCAGAATTCAGCACATGGGAAAGGAAGATGGAGAAACCATGGATCAACAACCCCATCCTACTCATCTAATAGCATCCTACTCATCTAATAGGGTTGTGTCACCCACAAAAGTGATCCGGATTCCCACCACAAGGGGACAGCCCCCAAACAACAGACAAACCTTGGGCTCTACTTAGATCCGGGGACAAAACTTTCCGTGAACGCCCCTCTCACAAAAAGAACTGGTGCGGTGTGTGGACCACGCGAGCTGACGACACGGGGTGCGCCAAAGACCCACTCGGCCACGCCAGAAGTTTGGTCAAGGAAGACCAAAGCGCCCAAGCTTCTACTGGGGGTGGGTACTTAGTAAGTGGTTAGCAAGCCTGGATATAACCCACAGAACGGAGACTTGCAATTACAACCATGGCTCAGAAAGTGGTAAATGCGGAAAGTAAGCCTGGTTATAACCCACGGAACGGGGACTTACACTTGCAACCATGGCTTCTGTGGGTTGTCTCACCATGGAGCCACTTACCTGAAGTACCCAATCGATCGCCCCTTTCATTGGCCCATTGGGCTTTGATCTTGCACGATCAAAGCAAGCCTGACACATTCTGCCGTGTCTTTCAGGTATCCCGACATGGTCCGGGGTGCTCTTTTTGAAGCCACCCCTTTTGGGGGTCTAGGTCCTCCAGTAGAGTGCCTAGAATATGGGTACCCGATGTTTTTTCTGTTTCTGTGGTCTATTTTAGTAGGGGAACCCTCCCCCAAACAAGTTGGTAAACGGGCACGGGGGAACCTGGAGGTAGTCTTAGGATCCTGAAATATGAGGCTCGGCCATTGGCCCAAAAAACGGCCTTTTGGTATGGCCGTGGTGAAGGCGCACCCCGGTGACAAGGGTTTGACCCAAGCTCAAGGGACCCGGTGGCTCGAAGGAATCCCTTACCAAGGCCTTAACAAGGTCTCGAGACGGTGGGGGCAACACACCCTCAACGCCTTTAGGGCATCTCTGGGTGCGGGGGGCCATGAATTGAGGGAAAACTAGCAGAAACACTGCGGTGGTCGGTGTTCAAAGGGGCCCTGGACACGGAAATCTCCAACAACCGGATTCAGACTGCAGCCATGTTGAAAAGCTCAGCTAAGGGCAAAACCCAAACAGGAGCGAATCAGGATTTGCAGAAGACGAGCAAATGTCGGTTTGACCATCCCCGGAGATCTGAAATGGGGGAGAAATCCACCAAGCATGATTTCCTTCATCTCAGTTGTTCTGTGACCCTGGAAAAAAAGGGACCCTTTTTGGGGAAGACAACTTTTAGTGATTTCTCCACCGATTTCTCCACAGAAAATCCCAGGCTTCTCGATCGAGGCACCGATGGAGACGATCGCCATCATGGGGTGTAGCTTCCCATGGATCCGAGTGCTGTTGTCCAGCACAGACAGGCCTGGGTTGTTTTTCTTGGCGCGTCTTGGGCGCGTTTCGTTTCAACGAAAATCGGGTGTTGTTTTCTTCTTCTTTTTGCGCGTTTCTGGTGCGTCCCGTTTCAACCTCGACAATTCACGGCGTCCCGTTTGGCTCCAGGGGAACTCCGAACAAGCCAGCCTGGGGGCACCCTGATCGAGAATCCTCCAGTAGAGGGTTGGAATAAGGAGTTTCCTATTTTTTTCAGGAGGTCTGTTTTAGTATATAGGGGAACCCTCCCAACCAAAAAAGGGGTGAGAAAGGGCACCTAGCTGGGGAGCCTAGATGTGCAGCTGTGGACCAGGCCACGAGGGGAACCCAGAGGCGAGTGACCGGTGTCCAGAGTCATCGCCAGAAGCCAAGAGGTCAACCCAATGCAGTGGGGTGAAAGTAGACGGCACAACAAACCCACATTTAGGTTTTCTCATCCTCTTTACTCGCAAACAGAAAGGGAACAGTGCCCATCTACTTTCACCCCGGTGTAATGAACGCAGGGGCAGAAAGCTTGCCGCATCTCTCAGAATGGCCAGAGAACGGTCCTTTACTATTTTTCTTGTTGACCCAGGTGTCGAGCAAGTGGCTCACATTGCAATAGGATGGAAACCAAACGCTCCGAAAGTTTCTCCGGGATTTTCTCCAGTAAGTTGAATGGGGAAGGTGTTTGGAATCTAGCCCAAGCAAATCTAAGCATTTTTCGTGGAATTTAAGCTTGGATAAGCCAAATTTATGCTTGGATAAGCCAAATTCAGCTAGGATAACTTTTGCCCACCCCCCGTACCTGGCAAAGCTTTTGAGAGCCCCATTTTGATGATTTATAAGCTTGGATAAGCCCAGTCTAAGCAAATCTAGTGTGTTCGGCCCCCGGCGAGGTGCGGGAGAAACCTTCTAAGGGGTTTTAATTGAGGGGTAGGGGGAGCCCTGCTGTCTTGACGCTGTGACTTGGTTTGCAAGACCGTCCAAAGGGTGCACTACATCAACCCAACGACAACAACCATTCCCATGGTTGCTCGGGGGATGCAACTTCTTATTTCATCAAGAAAAGTTTGACACATGAGCTCATTGCTCAATTCCAGAGTTTCTGGACTTTATACAATATGGAAGTAAGCAGCCAATACTTGTCAAAACCAAAACACACATCGCAAGGATGCAACCTCAAAAGTGTACGGCTCTCTTCCGCACTCCGCAATTGCTGTTCTTTCTTCCGCGAGCGAAAGCACGTGCACGCTTTCTATGGTCCGCTTTGGGACCCCAGCACGTGGACGCTGGCTCGCTGGGTTCGCCAGTCGTCGCCTTTGTGGGAAAATACATTGTCGCCATCCAAAAGGGCTGTCCACACTTTGAGGATATCGGACTGTGGATGGACGAAATCCATTTCGCACCACCTCAGAAACCCTGGAAGGATGATTCCCCTGTAAATACCAACAAACAGTGGTTTCCCACGGTTTCAAAGTGGTGCAGGATTTCGTCCATCCACAGTACCATGTTTCTTCAAACAGCTACCTGTGTGCTGAAACTGGGAGTGCGGATCCACACGTGTACTTCTCAACCTGCGGCATGGCAGTCACCAACCCCCACTACAAACAGAACCACCAAAAAACGAATAAACCAAAAAACACGCCAAGAGCAGCGAAGTATCCATACTCAAAACCCATGCCTCCCAAACCCATTCCTGAAAATGCCAAACCCGTCATGGAAATCCTCCCGACTCCCGGAGCATCCGCGTCAAGCGGAGGCATCTTTCGATCTCTACAGCCTGGCCAACTGGCCCAGCCGCTCCTCCTGAGAGTAGAGCCCGAACAAGCCGCCTGCCGTTGCAGCGGCAGCTCGGGCCAAACCCTCGAGGGTGGTTTGAGGGTTCCATATCTCTGCAAGAGGCCCCAAAAGCCAAACCAATTGAGGGCGAATTACCTGAAACAAAAGAGTTTTGACAGCCTTGAGCGAAACTCCTGTAGAAGTTCCTGTTGTGCTACCGAGTTCGGGCAAACGAGCGACCAAAACGGGTCCACTCTCGGTTCTAAATCCGTTGCACTGGTTTATATATGTTCCAGGCCGTGACTATAAACATCTATAAACCACATAAAGCCAGGTAGAAGAACCACCTACTCAAATGGCCAACATGAGGCACACTCTCAAAAGAGTGTGGACCCCCTCAACCAAAGGAGAAATTTCCATTGATTCCCTTGTATGGAATATAGCCAATAACGGAGTACGGACCCTCATCTCAGAGGACCAGTCTCAACCAGAAAGCTCCAAACCCCTAGCCGTCCAAGTTCTCCGGGCCAATGATTCACACACCAAAGAAAAATGAAATGCCCAAAAGACGGGATCACGACTAAGCTCACATGTGGCCCCCTTGGCCCGGACATCTCTGGCAAGCTGAGCTTTTGGTAGGAAAAAACGCCCCAAGCTCCGGCAACCGCCTTTGCACTTGGCAAACAGAATGGGAGACAAAGAAAACGGGTTCACTCAGTAGGGGTAGCTTCCCCATTTGTAGGGATCCGAGTCTATCAAGACACGTACAAACAAAACAAGGGGAAACGACTGTTTTATTTGAACACAAAATGGAACTTCAAGCCAAAAACCGAAAACGCAACACAGCATTGCACTTGCGCGCCGACTGGACTATTCCCATAGCACCATGGCATCCAAAGGCAACTCGCATCTGCAGGCCGGGGGCTTCTGAGTCAACAATGTCTCAGAGGGTAAATACATCTGTTGATATTTGGGGTTGATCAAACAGTTGCCCATGCCCACCGATTTGGGGGGAGGGGGGGTCCCAAAAAAACACCCCCAGATGCAATGAAACCCTGGCATGAATCCTAATTATGTCTAACTGACGCCTATGGATCCACTACGGGAAACCAGCCATCCTTCGCACCGGGGTGAGCGCGATCTCCGCATGGGCTTCAACTTTTGTCCTGCCGTTCTCTGCCTTTGAAGGTTTGGTTTTCTGGGTTGGTTCACGTCGCCATGGTGAAACTAGTGCGCCATGGTCATTTTTGCCTTAGGAATCCTTGCACTCTAAGTTTCCGCTTCTTCAGGGGTCTATGACCGTTTCTGCCACTCCCAGAGAAGAAACTGACCAATAAAAGGCTTGGGCGACGCTCAAATGTTTCACACCGGAAACAGGGGAACTTGTGACGTGGGAAACCCCTGCATTCCCACAAAAACTGACTCTTCCCGGATTGGCCATAGGAAATCCAGGTCCTTCATCTCAGCCCCCAAAAATGCACAATTGGTTCATCAAGCAAAAATTGGGTCTCAACCCCCACCCATTGGGTATGGGTCAAAATTGAGCCACCAGGGGAGGCAGGTTTTAGCAGTTGTTTCCATGTACTAGGCACTAGGCTTGCATTTTGGGTACCTATTGTTGAGCCGCACCCAATTGACTCATCCCTCCAAATAATTGCCTGTGTGCCAGAAGAGGATGCGCGAGTTCCGGAAGTCGTCAGGGTGCGCTCGTGCGTGTTCCTTGGATTCAACCCCCCACTGCCCCAGCCACCCGTCCCCGGTCTCCTCCAAATGAGTCCTCCACAAGATTGAGTTAAGAAAATGCTAAGGCCTAAGTGGTAGAACGGGGTTGTGCGACAATATGGTGTCTTAAATGGGTATGAATCCAAATGGGGGGACTTTGTCGCCATAATTTGCTGCATAGTAACTTATGCCCATCAATTGAGATCCTGGCCAGATTCCCTCATGGTGGGATAATAGTGTCTGTAATGGGCTAGCCCTTGATATTTCTCTGTTGCTTTCGGTCCCCTGCTAAAAGTTCAACTTTTAGTTTTTTCAGGGAAAGCCCATTAGTTGGCAACAAGTTAAAGTCCCAACATCCAAGCAAAATGCACCACAGAGTTTACATTGAAAGCTTAATTGCAAACACTGCGTCCACAAAAATGACACTCTCAAGATGACCATCTGAATGATGCGAAGAAACTCCACGCCCACAAGTACAAGTGATCTGATGACATCCGCTGCCTGCAACCAGCCAGTTAAACGTCATCTTTGCATTTCCCCACATTGGAACTCCAAGGAAAAGCGCAACAACCTGTAAACTTTTGGGCAATAACAAGAACCCAAAAGGGATCCATGAACTTGACAATATTCCCCAAGCTGACAATAGACCACAAGTATATGTACTACTTGCTCCTGTGGAGCAAAAGGAGCAAAAGAAAACGGTTGCGTGGAATCTATCAGAGAGCCTATCATGACAGGCGCCTCCCTTTCTGTTCCAAAGGATTGTCTGATCTGCAGTTGACGGAAGTACAAGGTTTCTTCAGACAAAACAGACATGAGTCTGTTAAACCTGCCAAACCATAACCCATAACAGATACGTAGCGCCAACAAAAAAAACACAAGGGACGGTAGAATCCGATAGAAGCAGCCGAAATCACATGAAGATTGAGCTCAGACTGTCCCTAATAAACCATCACAACGATCATGTTTAGTGAACTATCCTGTGTTTTTGGGGCCGCTTTTGGGTTTCATGTCCATGTGCAGGGGAGTAATAAGGAGTTCACCGGCAAACAGCGGAACAAAAACAAGATTCTCAGCCGCGCTAAATCACCTACCACTAAATCACCTGCCCCTAACTGGCCACAGTATTTTACCATGAGCAAAGTCACCCACCAAGTGGTAGGTTAAAGGCTAACCACTCCAGTTTCCGACTTTGATCACCCCCAGAACCAGTCAAACTAGTTCCCCCAGACTAAATCAACCATGGAAGTGCCACACATTCACCGAGCTGCACAGAAGTGAAAAAGAGCTTTGCCCGAATACACGTGGTCCAGGACGACTCCTGTGCATTCCGCAAGGAGACCCCTATGCGCCTGTGTCTCTGCTTTTGAGGCTCTGAATCCTTGTCAGGTTGGTTTACAAATGACGCATACCCACCTACTGGTATGCATAATATGTGCTGTTTACAAGCCATAAATATAAGCAGTACCCAAGTAAAGGACTTTGACGGCCGACCCCAGATGCATGAGGTACGTGAGCCCATGTCCAAATGTGTACTTACGGCATAACGACATCAATGCCCCTCACTTATCTCGGTTGCTTTCTGCTCGCCTGCCCAAAGTTCAACTTTTGGTTTTTCAGGGAAAGCCTATTAGTTGGCAAGAAGTTAAAGTCCTAACAACCCTTGGCAAAATGCACCGAAGTCAAAGTCGCACCTCGCAAAAGGTGAGTGTTTTGCTGGCAGTCTCTCCCCTCCCGCGCGCGGTAACTTGGAAGACACCCCCCACCCTCCCGGTTCCGTGGAAGCTCGGGGGAGCAACCTTAATGGGTCGTTGGCTTTCTTAAAGTTAAGCTCCTAGTGCGATATTAGATATGTCCTAAATCCTTCTAAACTCTAATTCCCCTCCTGTCCGCAAACGTGGAACCTGACTGAGGGGTCCTGGAAGACGACTTTCCTTTAAAACAAATTTCCTGGGTTCCACGGGTGCCACGTTACTGGACAAAGAAATGGCCGGAAGCCGAGAAAGCTATGGCCTTCACCGCCTCAAGGACGTCTCCTGAGCTTTTGGCCACCTCCACCAGGAACTGCAGCTCCGCCTCGGAGCATTGGGCTCGAGTGAAATCGATTCCCTGCAAAACCAACAGGGAAGAAGAAGAGATATTCTCGGGGGCGAAATCTGCGAAGCCCTGCCAAAAGTGAGTTTCACTTTGAGTGGTTTAGTGCGGAAAACCCAAACTAAGTTGGCAAAAAGAGTTGAAGTCCTAAGATCCCTTGGCAAAATGCAGCGAAGTCTTCATTTCAGCGAACGGAAAATCACCTTTCGGGAGTGCGAAAACCCACCTCGCCTCAGAGGCGTTGGCATAGCCTCCGCCCCCGCCCGGGTGGATCTCCACCTGCTGCGCGATCAGCTCCGCCTGCTCCTTGCCGCAAGTTGCCGATATACGACATATATATATATATATATGGCCATGGGTCAAAATCCAGATCGTACCCCCAGTGAACATCCCAACCCCCACTAAAATAGACTAAAATGGGTGGTGCACCTACCCCAAAATGGTACTATTGGCTTTGACCCACAGCCATATTAGGGTGCACGTCAACATACTTACTTGACCAGAGGGCGTGGAAAAATTGGTTCACCTTTTGGGACCTTGGTAAAGAAACTTGTTGCTTGCCACTAAACCGGGCCCAAAAAGTGGACTCAGAAAGGCAGCGGGCATGCCGCAAACCTGCCTGCGCCATGAAATTCTTGAACATCCTACGCGGACTGCCTACACGATCGCTTTCCCCACCAGAAATGCCTACGCGGTGCCTCCGCAACATAAGGCGAGCTCCCCCCAAAATCCGCGGCGAATACGTAGCAAGAACAACTCTGCTCAATTTGGTGCATATCTTTTTGGCTTTTTGGGAAGACTTCAAAGGGAACCCCAACGAAAAACAACAAAATCTCACTTCCTGATTGGATCGGCGGAGTGAGGGCTATCTCCTTTTTTTGGGATGAGTTCATAGCGCGCCCCAAAGAAACCACAACAACACCCCCTTGTGGGGGTGTACCCCTACCAACCAACCCAAAAATTTCAGATAAAACCCATTTCGGGGACCCTGAAAAGCCCAACGCCTGCCACCCCTGGCCCGTCGACGCGCCTTGGAGCATCCCAGGCCTTCCGCCTCCTTCAGCAGAAGCGCGCGGTACGCTGCAGGCGTGTGCTGAATGTTCACCCCGTGCCTTGGGAGGCGACGCAACCTGCTTTGGGCCCATAACTGGTGCATACTGTGGATGGACGAAACCCATATCGCACCGCTTTGAAGCCATAAGGAATCATTGCTGGTTGGTAGTTACAGGCAACAAGACACAGCTCATGGTTTCTCAGGTGGTGCGACATGAATTTCGTCCAGTAGCTCACTCCCTGGGCTTCTTGAACAAACCTTGCCACTCAGGGAGTGAACCCAGGAAATCAGGGGTGCAGAGGACAAACACACATGTGTGATGAGTATGGGCCATGCTAAGCTGGACATATCTATATGTATACCTAAGTATGTATATATACATATACATATATGTGAGTAGCGGACAAAATCCTTTACTAAACTCCATGCCATGAGGAAGTTGGGTGGTCCCCATTCAGTGTTCAGCTGAGGTGGAAAGGGAGGTCCTCTATCGGTTTTGCGCTTTTGCTGACTTTGCTAAGCCCAAGGCGCCCCGATCACTACCGAAGACTACCGAGGTTTTGTCGTATGCTCATGCATATACTATTTACTTGTCAGACCAGTTCACTTCCGATTTGGAGCTGCTTGATCACTGCCACAAAAACGCCCTGGACGTTTTACCACCAAATTCACCTTCCCAAGACCCAAGAAGTCGAAAAAATCAAAACCTAGGGAAGCGAGGGTTCTGCGGGTTCTGCCTCCTTCAAGCACCTCCGTTGACCACTATGAAATGGCCAAGAGCCGTGCGAACAGGGTCTTGAACTCGGTCCTGACCACATTTTCATTTTGGGTTTCAACCCCTGAACAACACCCCAAAAAGGCCTAAAGTGGATGCTTCCTCTGGGTTTGACACTTTCCGTTTGAATCCAATCCTGGAACGAAAGGAGTCTTCGCAAAACCTGACAATGGGTCAACAAGACCCAAAATCCATAATTTCCATAGGAGATCCCCCTTTGTCTGGATGGTGTCTGGAGTAGCTTGAATGGTTAGTTTGATGCAGCCTGATTCCCATTCAGTATGTTACCCTTTACATAGCGGAGAGTGAGTCCGAATGGTTTTAAACAGGTGCACAAGAGGTCTTTCGTGGCTATGCCGGTAACACCGTTTTCCAGCCAGTCACGGTTTTCCAACGGCAAGCATCGTTTCGTGGCTGTGGCCTCAGCTACGTCAAACGTCGAACAAAAATCGGCCCGATAGGTTGGGCCCAAGAGCTTTTTTGCACTTAAGACACAACTCACCCTACGGGTGTGGCCCCGTTTGGCTCACCCCTGGATTTTGTTTCCCCAACAAAAACGACCTCGCCCTATGGGTTTGGCCCTCCGCTTTTCTAGGTCCTCCAGATTTGAGAGGTGAGAAGAATTTGGTACCCGATGTGTTTTTCTGTAGTCTTTTTAGTGGGGAACCCTCCCAACCAAAAAAGTTGGTAAAAGTTGGCAGAGTTGGGGCTGGGGGACCTAGTTTTCTCCAACCACCAAAACGACATTGTTTCCACCCAAACAAAAAAGCGACCTCGCCCTCTGGCTTTGGCCCTCCGCTTTTGTCATTTACTTGAGTCCCCTGGAAAAAACTACAAATATTTCCAGTAGTGATAGATTCGCTTCAAAACCAACAGGGAGAACCAAAAAACTCTTCTTCACCAAAATGGAAGTTCAAAGAAACCGCGCCTCCCCCGCACTCCTCGCCGCCCAAAACTCGTCCCTCCGAGGCGCAGCTTCCGAGCGCCGCCGGCGAGGTGCAGACCCACCGCCAGGCCCGCGAAGGTGCCGCCGGAGCCGCAGGCCACCACCACGTGGTCCTCGACGGCTTTTTGAATCGACCGCGAAGGAAACCAGTTGGATGGCTTGTAGCGGTCATTCCCTCATTTTCCGCTGAGCACCAGCAAGATCATTGCTTTATACCTAGTTTGGGATCAGGTAATGGCTGGGTAAAAATGATAATAATGAAAAAAAACATTGTTTGGCAATGAATATAGCCACCAGACAAGAGAGGGTTGGGTTCATATGACCATTTGTTTCGCTAAGGGATGTATTTTAATCATCCAATTGGGTCCTTGCCATTCTTTTTATGGGAGTTGAACCCTAGGATTGGGATGTTTGCAAGGGTCCCTGGTATTGCAAGGTGATGTTGAGGACCACCAAAAAGGGAAATGGGTGTGCCTTTTCTTCGGGAAAACCAACATGGTGCTTTTCCTTTTGGTGTCCCTTTAAAACCAACACAGGGGTACCCTCAGAAAAAGACACACCCATATTTCCCTGTACAACTTTTTTTTTTTCCGTGGCCCTCAACTTGAATGGGCCTAGAAGGTGATTGAACCTTTGTAAGAGTCAACATACTACAGGCAACCTTACCAAGACACAGGACAACACACAACAGGATCCTTTCAGCGGACTCTTCAAAAGGCTTCAAACCTGCCTTTGGGCCAGACCAGCCCAAGAGAAATTGGTGTGGCTTGTTCCGGGGTATTTTGTGGCGGAAGCATGTTAGAGGGAAACCCAACAGCAACCAAGCTTTCTAAAGGACACGGGAAAATTAAATTTGCAGGATACATATAAGTATCACTATAGCAAGTTGCACTACGAGAAGGGAGAAACAATGTTTTTAGGAGAAACCAAAAGGAAACCAACCTGTCTGGACGGTCGCCTAAATTTGAGACAAACCCGTGTGAGCCATGTTCAGAATATGCACTTACACGGAAAAACACGCGGGACAATTGGTCAGTCCCTTTGAGTGTGTGTGTTTGCTTCATACAGCTGATGTCCCTCCCCGATTGACCATCGTATACTGGTATACTCCCAATTGATGAAACCGCGACAAACCGGAAAAGGTCGACATTGTGTACGAAGTTCGACTTGAAGGTTTATGTTGGTCCGTGTTTGGCGCACAAACACGACTGTGGGCTGGACCTGTACACAGCATAGAATGGCAGGAAGCAAACATCTAGAGTTCTAGCACTTGCTCAGAGGCCAAGACCAAGATGGTATGACCCCAGTTGGGCCGTGTAGAGCAGGCCACCCCTAAAACGCCTCACCTCTCATAGATTAACCGAGGTGCAAATCCCTCTTCGTAGTCCTCTCTGCACTCAGGGCCTGAACATGGCACATTCTGGTGTCATCGCTGCCGAGTCAAATTCAAACCGCATTAGTGTGTCTGTGTGTGTGTGTGTTTGTTCTTTGGGGGAGGGAGCCTGTTTGGTTGGCTTTAAAGCGACAGCAACAGGAAACCAAACATTTTGGGGGTCACCAAAAAAAGACAATCCTTGGGCCTGTTCCGCAATTCCTGTAGCCGGCGCAAGGCAGCACAAGTGTCTGCCATAGTTTGACTGCTGTTTGAACATCTAAGTTGAGGTCAGTTTTTTGGTTCAGTCAACGCAATTGAGTTGGCTCAGCCCATCGTGGAATATATCCCCAAAACATGCCAAACAGCTTCTGGTTGGAAGCATCCCAAGTACACCTTTGTTTGCTTTTGTGTTTGGCTGTTTGGTTCACTTCCCTTTTTTTTAAGGACCTAATGTTGCAACCCAAGACACCCTTTCAGAACTGTCACCTCTTCCCCAAACGAATGGTAAACAGTCGGCTCTCAATACCATCCAGAGTAACTCATATGACTATTGTTCCCCCTTGCGTAGAGCCCCGGTGGCCCCTTTGTGGAAAGCCGCACTGTCAAGCGCCCAAAACCACACCCCTTGAAGTTTCTTCATCGCCACGGGGCTAACCATCTGCAGCTGCAGCTCCTCACGGAGTGGGCCATGGGTCTTAAGGCGAGGGTACCTTGGGGTTGCTGAAAAAAGGCGAAAACAAAGCGAAACACATCTTTTTTGTTTGGAGTGTGCAACACACTCCGTGTTGTTGTTTCCTGCCCCCCCCCCCCCCGCTTAACGCAAAACAATTTTCCCAGGTCAGAGGCTAACGATCCAAGCTACCAGCGAAATGAAGGCATCCGAGCAAAAACCACAAGGGGGGGTTGACTAAACACCACAAGGTGCCCAGGTGGCCGGGGGGGGGGGACCGGAACCCTTACTTTTTTTGTCTGTATTGAAAGGAAGCCAAAAAGAAACTTTTGGCATTTTGGGCATCCCCAGTTTTCAGAGATCCCCTTTAAACCTGTTTCCCTGCAGGTAGTGGTTTGGAAGCCGCCAAAAGCAAAGCCGCGGATGAAAAAGAAGGACACCCCCAAACCCCGAAAGCCCCAAACCCCCAACTCCAGTGGGCCTGGGCAAAACAGATGAAGAAGGGTAGTGGCACTCTTGTTTTTCTAGCTGACTTTCACGAAAACCCCCGGATTCATGAAACTCTGGTTCACAGCACAGAAGAAATGCGGCTCCAAGGCCACGTGAAAGGTCTTCACCAGAGCCTGCAAAAAGACGCCATGGGAATTGACATAAGCATCCCTTTCTTGCTGCAGCATGCCATAGATTACCTCATCCTTCGGGTCCGAGCAACCTTGGCCCACGCGAGGGTATACATCCAACAACATGCGCGTAAATTCATATTTTGTCAAGCCCGCAAAAACACAAATAAGATCATGTCGGAGACCCTAGCAACGATGACCTTGCCCTAACCTCACCTACTATTCTCCGTTGTTGATTCATGTTAAGCCTATCTACCTATCAATCTATCCATCTATTGATGCACATGTATGTATATATATATATATGATACATACATATCCTAGCTTTTACCTACCCGTACCCATATAAGCGGAATTTCTCAAAATAGGGATCCCCTAACATGGTCAACTTCCCTTATAATATATATATATATATATATATACATATAATAGGTGTATATACACATACACGTATGTATACCGTATATATTGAGACCCCACACCCATCGACTTCCGCTTCGCTTCCGCGCCGCCTCCACCGCCTGCAGGTAGCCCCAGGTCCCCAAAGGGGCAGTGCCCCCCACGGGGATGACGTAGGGCCTGCGGCCTTTCGTCGCCAGCTCCGAGGCCACACGCTGGTTCCTCGTTTGCTTCCCCGAGTTGCAGCTTGTGGTTCCTAGGGTGTTCTAGGGGTACCTTCCCCGTTCTTTCCAGGAATCCTTCTTTCTAGAAAACCCCCCAGAAACCCAGGGAAAACGGCTGGATTGTGAAAAGAACGATGGTTCAAAAGAATGGGGAATCAACCCCCAGAGGTGTGGGTGTGTCTGGGTGTGTTTGGGTGTGTTTGGGTGTGTTTGGGAGTTCGTTTGCTTCCCCAATTTTTAGCTTTTGTTCTGATGGGGTTGTTACTTTGACTTCTGGAAATTCTCAAAGTTGGAAAATAGGAGATTCCATTTCATCAGCTTTGATCTAATCGGTGGCTTGGTGGCCATTGTGTTGGGCAGGAACTACAAAATTGAAAGCAACTGGCAGTGCCAAAATCAGCTTCCCCTTTGTTTGCTGGTTTGAGTTGGTGGTGTCTTTCCTGTTGGCGGGATGTTTTTTTCCACAGTTGAGACCTTTCGGCTAATCCACCAGTCAAGCCATTAGCACGTTGGTGGTGGGGAGGCGTTCCTGGGGTGGAATCCCCATCTACCCACAAGAACCAGGGGTTCAAATCCAAATCTAAACCACCAATCCTGATCCAATCAAGGGTGTCCTGAGGGGGCGTGAAACCATCGGGAGGCGCCTCCTTTTTGCTAAAGGTCAACAACACCTAAACCAAGACAGGCTTCCATGGTCAACCGGTTTTTGGACAACCCTTCATGTGTTCCATTGTGTGCCCCGTTTGAATAAAGAGGCCATGTTATTTTGCCCCCCACTTTTCCCTGTCAACCTGCTTTTTACCCGCCTTGTCCTGGGTGTGTGTGTGTGTGCGTGTGTGTCAGAAAAAGGGATCTGGACACCCGAACATGGGCTGTGCACATCAAAGGGGGCTCGCGACCCAAACAAGAACCCACCAGTACTTTGTTGCCTCACTTCCTGCCCGGATTTGCCGAAACAGAGACTAAAGTCCAGGAACTCAGTTTCGGCGTTGATGTGTCAAGTAGGGGGGCCCGGTAGAATGGGTATTTTGTGTTGTGATTCCGCTTGAAACTCAAGAAAGTACTGAAACCCAAAACCTATTATGAATGCCTTTACCCCCGCCCCCCTACCCCCTCCCCCGCCATAAGGTAGTTGGGTCCTATCCCTAGGGTGGCTAGGAAGCTGACATATCAGCATTTTCCCTACGCCTTCCGAAGCTGAACCAATTTTGATCGGAGATTCGAGCTGCGTTACTTTGCTGCGTCCTCCTATGGGGAACTCAGAAGAGATTCGAATTGCTCTTGATGAAAGTGCTGCGTTTTCCTAAGCTTTCCGCAAACATGCTTGCCCAAGGTTGCCTAAGGCTTCGCTAGGGCTTCCCTAAGGCTTCTCTAAGGTTTCCAGCTTCCCTAACGCTTCCCTAAAACCTCCCCAAGGCTTTCCTACAACTTCCCTACAACTTCCCTAAGGCTTCCCTAAGGCTTCCATAAGGGTCCCTTCCCAACCGAACTGCAGGTTTGGGTGGTATCTCTTGTCCAATCAGCTTTTCACTGCTCAAGAGCCTCCCTGAGTTCCCGCCATACGCCGCCATGCGCAGGGCGAGTGTCAGGCCAAGCTTCCCCAAGGCTTCCGCAAGGCTTCTGCAAGAGAAGTTCTTTGAGCTTAAAAAGGGGGGGGGCTAAAGGGGGGGGGTGCGGGCTCCATCATACTAGAGAGGGCAAGCGGGTGTTGCTCGAAACCCAAATCCAAATTTTTAAATGGAACCCACCAGCCAAGCCACCAACCCACCAGGTCGATCCGACCACTCCGACAGCCAAAGTCAGACGCCAATCCCAGTCCAAGCGGCAGGCGCTCCGCCGCCGACAGATCCCCCCCCAGGGCATAGTACTCCTTGGCGCCGATGAGGTGCAAGTGCGCGCCCGTGAGGCGACTCAGCAGCAAGTTGCCCTGCAGGCCTGGATGACGGGGACGGACTCGGCGGCATTTTAGGTGGATATCGCCGAGCTCTCCCAGGGCTTCCGGTAACTTATATGTCAGGAACCAGCTTGGTTCCCGCTATAGCAGGGTCATAGAACTTGGTTCCAGGAACCGGGCCAAACAGACTTCAAACAGACCCAAAACAGTATATTTTGCGTTGCCGGGCTGTGCGAGTGGTGCATTCAGAGCCTTCAACAGGATTTTGGTGCTCAAAGCAGTAGATGCAATCAATGAGGAGAATGTTTTCACTAAGTTCATAGAATTGTGTTTGGGACGCACAGCAATCAAATCATGTCTGGATCCCGATTGTGCCATGTGTTCAATGCAAAACAGGTTTGGGGGGTCAGCGGATCCGGAATAGAAACCTCGCATTAGTTTTACCATGAGGCCTGCTGGCGTGCCAGGTAATGCCTGTTAACAAGCTGTTCGTGGTGCATATCTGCCCTTTGTATGCTGGGTGGGGACTGTGTTACGACTACTCTTCCGGCCATATCCACTTGTCATTGAAAACTATTTTGCATGTTGATTAGCTTCCTTTGCAAAATATGGTGGCTGCACCAACATGCTAGCAACATTTGCTCCATTATTGGTGTCAACAGACACGTTCCAAATGACATCCACGCACAAAGCAAACGTTCGTCCACGATTGCAAGACTGCAGAAATAAGTAAAGAGCGCTTTGTGTTATTTGCGCTGCGACCTCAGTTTAATTTTACAAGCAAATGCCCTGCTTCAGTATGCTTAGGCACTTCCCAGGTGGAGTACTGTCGAAAGGGCTACGCGCTGACAATAGCTGTTGTATTCAAGGGCATTGAACCCCGCCAAACGCCTCACACATAAACACATCATACACTCAATACACTTAACAGCGCGCCCCAGCATCCAGCATGCAAGCTTGCACCGTCATCCTTGCTTGCATATTGTGGAACACTATAAGCAACATGTGTGGTCCGGACATCCTGTCATCAACAAGCGCTTCCAGGAGACTTGAATCTTGCCCAAGTGGGTGAATTATACAATTGTGGTTTCAATACCAGTCATGAATATCAGCAGAAAAAGTCACATCGGTATTTTGGCGTTTGCACATGGAGGCTCGCCCGCCACAAAGCAATATCTCTTGGCATAAGTGGTGGTCTATCCGTTTTGTGCACAGCAAGGTTACCAACTGGAGCGTGTTTGCATGGAAGTAGGTCGTGTAAATTTTTAAATATAGGCGCAGGCGCCTTTTGAGCTGTGATTAGGTGAGCCATGTCCTAAACGTGTCATGATTTGCTAAGTCGCATCATGTTGGTTATCGCACATAGAATGATTTTAACCCTCTTCTGCGTCAAACCAAGACACGCACAGCATCATTCCGTGGGTGTTTCCAACTATGGTAAGCTGTGTACAGCACATATCCCGGGGTTAAAAAAAAGCATTCCCAAAACCCTACAACATCTTTAGCAGCCATAGCCTATAGCTGTTTAATGTCCCTTCTCAAAGTAAATATCAGTATATTGTTTGTCCAAAACAATGTTATCTTTGGGAGCAACAGTTGTATGTTCGGAGGCAACACACGTTTTGGGAGCAACAGTTTTATATTCGGAGGCAACACACGTAAATGCACATAGACATGTTACCCATCGCAGTGACTTGGCAAAACATATGACATATGATAACCGCAACTGCCTACAGAACACCTGCCAGAGTCACACAACACGCAACAAATCACATGCGCACACACGCCAAAAGAACCCTGCCCATACTTGCACATTGCGTAGCAAAGGGGAAGCAGACCAAGCAGCTAAACACACATCATAATCACACTCACGCATCACACACCAACAAACCACGCAAACCCTTCATCACCCGCCAGAATCACACACCACGCGACAAAGCATACTCAAACTCTCCAGTTGGCCACAATCAAGCACCACACAATAGATGATGAACATACCTGTCAACGAGCAGCCACTTACAGCACAACAAGTCAGAAACACACGCACCAACTGAGTACCCACCATCACACATCACACAACAAAATATAATCACCCCCGCCAACTGAACACCGATCACATTCACTCATCGCACAAATAAACCATCAGCACCCGGGCCAACCAAACGCCCACAGCCAGCTACCACGCAACAAACAAACAACCCATCCGCCAGCTGAACACCCGCCAAACTAACGAACCACGCAGCGAACTCAAAATACACGGCCACCAACTGAAGACCCGCCACAGTCGCGTGCCTACAGCGAATAAAAAAGCACACAACCTTCCACACTCAAACACCACATAATTCATGTTCAAACACTCCCTTTCGATGAACCCATTATTTCACACAAGTGATGAACACACCCGCTCACAAAGCGCCCGCCGCAGTCACACACTGCGTGACAAAGTAGGAACACACGCCAAGTGAGCACCCTGCACACCTACATGGCACACAACAAAATAATGAGCGGGCCAGCCACCCAAGGCACCGCGCAAAGGATGAACTGAACACGCGCCGACGCGCATCCGCCACAGTCGTACACCGTGCAAAAAATGGTAAGCGCACCTGCCAACAGAGCACTCGCCTCAGTCACACACCGCATTAACACATAACAAACAAACACGCGCCAGCCATACTCACACGGTGTTACAAACGACACGCCTACGCCCCAACTGAGTCACTCACCAGGCAAGCAAGGGCACTGGCACCACCCAACTGAGCGCCAGCTACAGCCAAAAACCACATAAAGAATGAAAAACACACTTGCCAACTAGGCACCGGCCATGCTCATGAAACCACACAGCAAATTACAAGCACTCGGGCCAACTGAGCAGCCGCCACACCAATACACCGCACAACACATGAGCAACGCACGCCAGCGACAAACGCTATGGCAAGTGCTGGGGCAGGAAAACCTGCCAGCACAGGAAGGGCGAAACCGGAACCGTTAAAAAGGGCCCGGAACCGTTAAAAAGGGGGGTGGAACCGTTAAAAAAGGGCGTGGAACCGTTAGGTAGGGACCGGAACCGTTAGAGGGAAAATCGGACCCAAATTTGGTGAAAAACCGCGTGCTCCATGACTTTCATGCGGAAAACAATGTGTTCCATCATTTTTCCAGTACAATGGAAATTTGGGGTGAATCCAGTGTGAATCTAGCAGCAAATAAGCGCTGCGCCCGCTAACTGAGCCCCCGGCAAGCTAACCCACCACACAACATGCGCCTGAAGCACGCCGAACCCGAATGAAATTGAAAACCGATCGTCTCAAGACACGAGCCAGAACTTCCCCTCGAACATCAAACCTCAACCCTGCGCAGGATTGTGGGCACAATGGTTGTTGTAGCCCAAATTACGGACTCAGCTGAGTAACCTTAGGTTGTTGCAATTGTGCCTTGGAATTTACCTGGAAACATCAACATGTGTATGATTTCTGGCTGGTAGACCGCATTTTTGTTGGGCGTAGCCAGCTCGCTGCTCCGAAATGTCTCTAACGGTTCCGGCCTTTTTCTATCGGTTCCGGGCCCCTACCTAACGGTTCCACCCCGCTTTTTAACGGTTCCAGGCTCCTTATTCTAACAGTTCCGGATTCGTCCTTCCTGTGCTGGCAGGCTTTCCTGCCCCAGCACTTGCCATTACGTTTGTCGCTGGCGTGCGTTGCAATTTGTTGTGCGGTGTATTGGTGTGGCGGCTGCTCAGTTGGCCCGAGTGCTTGTAATTTGCTGTGTGGTTTCATGAGCATTGCCGGTGCCTAGTTGGCAAGTGTGTTTGTTGATTCATTATGTGGTTTTTGGCTGTAGCTGGCGCTCAGTTGGGTGATGCCAGTGCCCTTGCTTGCCTGGTGAGTGACCCGCTCAGTTGGGGCGTGAGCGTGTCGTTTGTGACGTGGTGTGCAAAGGTGGCAGGCGTTTAACCTTGTCATTTGTTGCGCGGCGTGTGTATGGCTGGCTTTCGGCTGGCGTGTTTGTTTGTTATGTGTTACTGCGGTGTGTGACTGAGGCGAGAGCTTTGTTGGCGGGTGTGGTTATCACTTGGTTTCGCGGTGTATGACTGCGACGGATGCGTGTTGGCGCGTGCTCAGTTCATCCGTTGCGCGGCGCCTGAGGTGGCTGGCACGCTTATCGTTTGTTGTGTGCTATGTAAGTGTGCAGGGTGCTCAGTTGGCGCGAGTTGTTCTACTTTGTCGCGTGGTGCTCACTGCGACGGCTGCTTTGTTAGCGGGTGTGTTCATCACATGTGTGAAATTATGGGTTTAGTCAGAGGGCGACTTTAAATATGTATACTGTTGCTGTGGTGTTTGAGTGTGGCTTCTAATTTGCTCTAGGTACGCGAGTATGGCGGGTCTTGAGCTGGTGGCCGTGCATTTTGAGTTTGCTGTCTGGCTCGCTAGTTTGGCGAGCGTTCACCTGGCGAATGGGTTTGTGTTTGTTGCGCGGTCGCTGGCTGTAGTGCTCATGGTTTATTTGTGTGATGTGTGAATGTGGTCGGTGTTCAGTTGGCGGGTGTGATTATGTTTTGTTGTGTGGAATGTGATTGTGGCAGGTACTCAGTTGGCGCGTTTCATCGCGTGTGTTTCTGACTTGTTGTGCTGTAAGTGGCTGCTCGTTGACAGGTATGTTCATCATCTATTGTGTGGTGCTTGATTGTGGCCAATTGGAACGTTTGAGTATCCTTTGGTGCGTGGTGTGTGATTCTGGCGGGTGATGAAGGGTGTGCGTGTTTTGTTGGTGTGTGAGGCAAGAGTGTGGTTATGATGGGTGTTTAGCCGCTTGGTTTGCTTCTCATTTGCTACGCAATGTGCAAGTATGGTCGAGGTTCTTTTGGCGTGTGTGTGTGTGTGCGCATCTGATTTGTTGTGTTGTTTGACTGCGGTGGGTACTGTAGGCAGGTGTGGTTGTTTGTTTTGCCCAGTCACTTCGGTGAGTAACATGTCTACATACATTTACGCTGGCTGCCTCCAAATATGAACTTGTTATGCAAATGACTGAAAGTTGTTGTGAGAAGCGGCATTAAACAGCTATGGCGGCTGTAGAAGTTGTAGGTTTTGGGACTGTGATATTTAATTATTGCCCTGGGATATGCGCTGACACAACTCACTCTAGTTGCGGCGCCGTCTTTCCAAACTCCACGGAAGAATGCTCTGTGTCTTAGTTTTGAAGCATAAGAGGGCTAAGTTTATGCTATGCGCCATTTGGATTTTCGAATGCAATGGACCCCGCTAATGTGATTTTAGCAATAGTGCGCAATCGGAACAAAGACTGGACAGCGACCGCTGACTGCTGTTGCCTTCTCTGAGGCATAGTGGTTGCCCGACAACGCGAATTTCTAGCACTCAAATGGTATGAAGTTTGCCACTGGCAAAACGCCCCTGGAACACAGGGAAAAGGCGAAGCGGGAAAGGAAAAAAGCAGGAACCCCGACGCACTCAAGCAAAACCCGGATTAAAACAATCTCAGATCTCAACCTGTCCCACGCGAGCCCAAGCTCAAATTGAACTCATCCTAAGCCAATCTTGAACTCAATGTCGTCCAAAACCAAAAAGGGCTTCGGCGGCCCTTAAATCAGCCCTAAATTAGCCCAGCACCTACCGTAAATCAACCCTCACCAACACTACGCCGACCAGCGCGCAAGCTCAGGCGGCAGTATATCAACTCTCAAAAAGGAACCAATTTGCCCCCTACGCTGGTTACCTAAAAAACAGGTAACCGGCCCTAGTTCCGCCAAATCTGTCGCTGGAGCCCAGTTACCCACTATACAAGTAACTGGGAAGCCCTGGGTCTTGTATGCCCCTGTAGGTTCTTGGTGTTGGTACTCTTAGAGTCTTTTAATATCTTGCAGGGGGTGGATCCGCAAAGGCGACCTCCGAATCGTTTTCGAGAGATTCCGACAACGAATTCGCCGAGCCAGCGAGTCCAAACAGGGTTCCACTTGTTGGCTATATACCCCAAAGACGACTTTAACCCAGAAGTTGTCCTTTTGGGGGAAATGAACTACCCCTGAGTTTCAGTCTACCTGGAGTCTCCATGAACCTCGAAAAATGGGTCAATGACCCCATTTTTTTGGATAAGGACCCCATTTGTTAAGGGTCATGGAGACTCCAGGTAGCTTGGGGTAGCCAAAAAGTGGAACCCCAAATACAACTACTCCCACATTGGCATGGCACCCGACAGGACGTTTGAGGAAACTGATCTTTCAGGCAGCGTCGCACAGGAAGAGTTCTAACTTGCCCCTAACTTGGACATAACAGGCGCTCACTCTTTGCGACCTTGGCTACAGACAACCGGAAAACCAACAGGTCACAAGGTCCGCTTGGGCAACTGAGGTTACTATAAATCGGAATCCCGGATCTAAGTACAACACCTGCTTGATGTGGGTTCAGACAACTTTTGGAGGGAACACCCCCTATTAGTAGGACGTGATTCCTTTCATGTGGGGTCAACGGTAACCAGGGGAAAAATAATCATGTCACCTTGGAGAAACAACTAAATGCTAAATGACCTATTTGTGTTAACAGGATTGCTATGGTACGGTACACCTAACAATTAGGTAAACCAAGAATTCAAGAAAATCCAAACTTCGAGCAAACCTCAATTTCCGGTACGCCACCTAACTTGCCCAAAGCAGCACAATAATTTGTCAGCGACCCAGACCTCCAGTGCATTTCCATGGAAAGCAACAAGCCACCCTTGTTTTGTCAGTTCTGATGCTAACTCACTTGGCCAATGACCACCCCAAAAAACGTGTACACGTTTTGCGTCACCACCAAAGCGGAAGCCACCCAGACAAAGAACTACATTTCGTGTGTTCCCGGGCTGGGCGGGTTGAAGGAAGACCCCCCCCTCCAACAAAGGAGACAAAGGCACCTTTCAGGGCAAATTAATTCTGTTGGTTCCGAACCAAAATTGTGCATAATAGCTGAGGCCCGTTCAGGCAACGCCAAGCCCTAGCCAAGCACCAGGACGGTTACCGAATAACCAAACAAACACGTGTCGCATCATGTTTGTTTAAACTAAACCGTTTAATGAACGGTGGCAAACCGATGTATGTTCCGGACTTGCGGGTTGTGGGTATCATGGTGGGTTTGCGATTTCCTGCACAGACCCGCACGTGGGAAACAAAGCCCTTGGGTGTAAAAAGCCATTTCTGTTGCATAGACCTCCAGTGACCGCGAGAAAACCCAGCACCCTTTTGCGGTGAGAGTTGAATTCAAACGGGAAGCCCCTGCAAACAACATTGAACAAATGAACAACACAGCACCTCGCTGCATCTTCCATGATAGTTGCCTCTTTGATTCAACGGACCATTATTTAGACGTTTGTCAATTGAACATACTTTAAGGGCCTAACGATTAGAACGGAGTTGTAGGGCACTTAAACAATATATATATATATATGTATAGTCATAGTGATGGTCATAAACTAGTAGAACATATATTGCCAGTTAATCTCCTCCCCCTATTAATGAATGACCCCCATTAATAATAAATGCAAATCCGGGGCCCGAGGCCAGATTTCCACTCCGCACAATTGATTTTCCATTGCACCAATACTAAACCAATACTAAAGTCTTGGAATCCTTATTAGGGGGCACTTTTAGCAAGCTTCCAGCCTCACTTTTCAAAAGGTGGGTTCCTCAATTCCCCAAAAGGTTGCTTCCCCAAAAGCTGTCTAGCTGCGACTGTCTCTCTACAGTACATGCTGGCTAATTAACCTGCCTGGCTGCAAACAAACAACCAGTAAACTGGTAAACAAATAGAATGATACATCATTTTTCCTTATTAAACCGCTTACTCGCGGACCTTACAATTCAATCCATTTCCTCCAAATCCTATGTGAACCCTCACATTGTTGGAAAAGCAAAACAAACCCAACCCCAAAAACCCCAATTAAAATATATATATATATATTTGGGTGGATTTATTTATAATAGGGGAGGGGGGGGGGGGGGGTATTTATTAATAGGGGGAGCGGATTATACTGCTTCAAGTTCTATCCGACCACAACAAGCTAACCAGGAGGAACGCCGCGTGCGTTCCGCGCCTGGATCCTGGTCAACCATGCTGTCCTTCACCAGCAGCACTAAGTGCGCCTGAAAGCAAAAAAGAAACAAGGCAACCGTGTCAAAATGGGGGGTGACCCGCAAACATGTGGTTTTCTTGTGGTTCCTGTTTCAAACAAACCAAAGGGGGCGGGGGATGCCTCCCAATGTGGGTGCATGTGCGAGTGCGTGTGGGTGTGCGCGTGTCTCTGTGTGTGTGTGTGTGTACGTTTGTTTTTCCTTGCCCTCAACCTCCCCCCCCCCAAAAAAAAAGTGCCCTGACCCTCCAAGCAGTTTCCAAATGTGGGCGTCCAAAACTAAAAGAAACTTGGCACCCTGGCCGTTACCTCCGCACACCTTGCCCCTTCCACCGCACAAACCAAATGTCACCGAACTGGCCCCAAACATCACCTAATTGGCCCATGGATCTGACTCTTGAGGATTCTAAGTCGGCTTTTGCCCGTGTCCGGTTTTCTCTCGCCCGAAAATCGCCAGGTCACGCCTCCAAGCCCAGCAGCCGCGCCGCCGCCGCGGTGGCACGGCAGTGGTTGGACTGCAGGCCTCCCACCGTGACCACCACGTCACAGGCCTTCCTTCGCTCGCGGACGACCAAAGGGACCGCTCGTCCCAGTGGATTTGTCAGACCAGTCCAGCTTCCCACGAATTTGGGGGGTTGGAGCCCAGTTTGGGATTCGAAGGGGTCCCTGGTTCTTGTGGGTAGATGGGAAACCCAGCCTTCAACCACTCAACCACCAGTCCAAACCAATTGCTGGGAAGCTGACTGGATTTCCATAAAAACAAGAAGAAAACCAATGGTCAGATTTACTGGGATGCGCCTTAGCTCGTGCAGAGCGCATGCGGGCCGTCTGGGGTTGACTTGGGAACTGGAGGAAAGTGAAACCTTTCCTCTCGGAAAGCAAGTGGGTGCACTTCCATGCTGGATGATACGACCCTCAAATGACCAGAACGGGAACCGGTTTCCAAAATGAGTGTTTCCGGTAGGTCACCCCTTAGAAAAACAGGGCGCCCTCGAAAAAGACCCCCCCATTTCCAGCACCTTCTCTTTTGTCCTCAGGAATCACTCTCTGGGGACTTGCGAGGTTTCTGCAAAGACTACCACAAAGGGCACCCTTGGGGCTGAGGCTACAAAGGTTCAAAAGCAAGGGTGTTGGCCTGAGCAGGGTACGTTTTTTTTTTTTATTATTCACATTAAATTGAAATTTGAAATGAACCACCAAACTGGAGCATACCTTATTTGTCCACAGCCACGTGTTGCTTCTGGCGGTTAATTATTATTTTCTTTGTCTGCTTGCTTGCTTTCTCCATGACGGGGTGAAAGCCAAGCACAAGTCATCTCAAGCACACTGAGCACGACAGGCACTGCAAGCACTGCAGCAACGACATGCGCTACAAACATCGCAAGTACTACACCATGACAAGCAGGAAAACCACTACAACCAGCGCTACAACCACTACGTGTGCTAAAACCACCACACACACACAACAAATCACAACAAGCAATACAACCACCACAGGCACCACAACCACTAGGTGTGCCCAAAACAACCGCAAGCACGACAAACCAATGAATCTTTCAGCCGAGACTCGCCATGGCATCTGCCATGAAAAACTCCAGCTTCCGGGTCTGCCAGAAAGCAACACCAAGTTCTCCAAGTTTCTTGAAGATCCTCAAGCTACCTCCCACATTTACCCTATGTCCAAAGTTTGGGCTTGGACTTGTTGCTACCAGAGTTCCCCCTTCATCGATTTCCCTTTTGGAATTCATGCTGGGTGCCCTACAGGGGTCTGAAAAACAAAAGAAACCACCGCCCCTTGTTGAAGTTTCCCTTTGGGGTTCTGTCCTCGCCAATATGGGCCGGTCTTAGCACCCCAAACCACTACAGAGGTTCGGTACATTCAAAGGGGGGCCCAGATTGACTTCCCAGCAGCAACACCCTGTAACCCGAAGGCTGACCAAAATTATCCAATGATCTCGATAAGCCTTGGGCAAGGATGTATATTTGCATAGGGCGATGAAAAACAATACTCACATGCCACATGTTGTCCTTATTGCTTTAAATAGGGGCCCCCCTGATTCCAAGAAGCACACGTTGGTCAATGATCTGCTAGGCCCCAGCGGTTCAACTGTCCGGAAGAAGGCTCCTGCAAAAAGCCGGAGACCACTTGCATGTTCGGCCAAGTTAGTATAATAACAAGGTTGACTCCACCCAAAAACACTTTTCGGGCTACAGCTTGGGACAACTTACTAACTTGGCGAATCGAACAATGGTGGCCCATGGGCTATAGCTTGGGTTATTAACAACTTTCTAACTTGGCGAATCGAACACTGAAGTGGCTGCCCATGGCCAAAACGGAGCCCATGAAAAGACTGAAGATTGGAAAGCCCCACAAAGGTAGCCACCATGTCAAAAGCACGTTTTTGTTATCGCTTCGTTCCCGGCCAGCTGAATCCTGAATCCAGGGTTTGCTTCTTACGCCGAATTCACCAGTGGATATTGCAATGTTCCCTTGGAAAATGCTGACAGGATGCTGTCCAGGAATGCAACAGTTGGGTTTGTCTCAAAAAAGTGAGACCCCTTTTTGCGGTTGATTCTCAAGGGGACACCCCTGACAATAAAAGCTAGGTCCTCCAGTAGAGAGGTTAGAATAAGGGTGCCCTTTTTTCTGTAGTCTATTCTAGTAGGGGAACCTTTCCCCAAAAAAGGCATCAATGGACAAATGGGCCAAGTATATAACTCAGTTCTACCCCAATCACATTGCTTGATCCTGGCCCATTCGTGAACCTGCAAACGTCATTGCGAATCCAAACAGATCCCACCGGAGGTCTCCGGTACACTTGCGCTGAGGGGAAACCCAAGTATGGCATCAGCTGCTGATGGCATACTTAAAGGGGGGATCGGGTACTTAGTAAGTGGTTAGTAAGTCTGGCTACAACCCACTGAACGGAGACTTATAACCCATGGTAAGAGGGTTATAACTACATGGTTATTACCCACTCACCAAGTACCCTGCCCCTGTAGCACCTTCCAAGGGTCCATTGGTACCTCTAAGTGCCCTTGGGCCACCAACCACTAAGTACCATGCCACCGCGAGGGCGAGCGCCTTGTTCCCGGATAGCTCCAATCCCGTGAGGTCGTCCCTTTTCAGCGTCCACTGCCTGGGGCGCAAGGCTGCTGGTCTTTGGGTGGGGGTTCCACCAATTCCATTTTCCGAGGCGCGAAATGGACCATGCCAACTTCTCGAGGTCCTCCCGGACAGGAATTAGGGTACATGATTTGTTTTTCCCTTTTCTGTAGTCTGGTTAGAAGAAGGGTACAAGGTAGAAGAAGGGTACATGTTTTTTTTGTTTCTTTTCTGTAGTCTGCTTTGGTAGGGGAACCCTACTCCAAAAAAGGGTAAAAAACCACTGGGGGACCCAGTTTTAAATTTTAGATCTCCTGGGCACGCGGTGTCGTTGACCCAGTGCCAAGTCTTTGTGTCTGAAACTCCCTGAACTTTGGACGTGGCAAACTTGATCTGGACGACTATGCTCAAACTGCTGCCGGTTCCCCCTCCCACAAACTCCCCAACCTTCCAACCCCCGAAACCTCCCAAAACCCTCAACCCTAAGCCGCCAGACCCTCATGCACTCAAACTCTCCAACTCCCCAACCCTCCAAAAAACCCAAACCCCAAACTCCCCAGACCCCCCGGACCCCCAGACCCCCAACCTCCGCAACCCAAGCCACACGTTCAGCTCCTGCAGCGCCGGGCAGTTCCAGGGCATCCTCATGGCAAACCCCCCTGCACATTTGTTGGTGGATGGTCCTTTGGCTTCCCCTATCGCACCGAAAATAGGTGGATCCTCTACTTTAGTTTCCCCTTCCGCAACGCCTGTTTTGGTGGATCCTCCTGTTTTCGTGGATGTTCCTCTTGGCGTCCCTTTAAGCCCACAAAACAGGGAAGCCCTCCAACAACTTGCTGGTGCGATAAGCGGGGAATGATAAATGGAATGAACCGGAAGGATCCCCGAATACAGGAAACCACCAGTTGGAAGGTTTATAGGGTTCATTCCATTTCGCATTCCCTGCTTATCGTACCAGCAAAAAAGGGTAGCCCTGACTTGTGTTTTCAAGAACCCAGCCCTCAGGATAGCCCTAAAAAAGCCACACATCTCATAGACATGGAACACGAGGGCCTGGTGTGTGGCAACAATGGATTTGATGCCCTCATTACGCAAGCCCCAAACCAGCGCACTGTAGACCATACTGGAAATTCCAAGACAGAGCTGCAGATGTGAAAGGTGTTGCTCCCTTGCCCAAAGAACTTCGAAGGTAAAAACTTGAAGGAAGGCCAACTGTGTTGAGCAAGTTGGGAGTTTGTGAGTCCCATGCTGCCGAATTGACCATGGACTAACAACCCGAAACAAAGGCCTCCTCAACGACTCATTCAAGGCGGGTCAACGGCTCCTCTACATAAATCCGCATTTTAATACAAATCCAGAAGCTGAATTGAATTGAGGGATTTCTTGGTAAAGGACCTTTATCATGGTCAGCTCGTTATACCCCGCTAGAAATCAGGCAGATCATTTTTTATGCGGGTGTGGAAGGGCTCCGGGGCTAGTCGAAATCGAGGTTCCGACTAGAAATCAGGGGCAATGAATTTGGGCTGGTTATTGTCCGTGCATGTGCTGAGGTGATCATTGAGTTTTCGCTGCGGGAAACAGTCTCTTGTTTTGTGGGTGGCGCCTTAAGCAAACGAAAGCCTCTCTACTAACCAAGAGAGGGTGCTTCCACCATCTGACTTTTTATTGGAGACACTTGGTGCATCGGGGAATGCATTCTTCAGGGAGCTCCCTGATAAACATTATAGCTGCTTTGACAATCCCTAGAAGAGGTCAAACTAATGACTTGGCCCGCATCTGGGGTGCTTCAAATGACATAATATGGCCTGCTTGTTCTGCTTCATATGTCGGCCTGGTGGAAAACAACCTGTAAATGCCCCGTGTTTTCTGGAAAAGGTCGTGCTTTTTGGGGGGGCTACCGTTAAGACACATTCTACATCTACAGAGAATTCACAACTTGACACAAAACGGTGCGTTTTTTGACCAAAACGGAGGCCTGATCTCCGCCAAGCTGCAGAGGGGTGGGCAAGTGCCCAAGCAGCACTCGCTCCTTGGGGACTTTCAAATGCTGCGCCCAAAGCGGCGCCTTCGCGGGGTCTGGGGTCTGGGCCGGGGGGGGGGGGGGCATGTTGGCTTAGCTGGAAGGACCCGACTGCAAGAAGTTCACATTTTGCGGGCCGTAAAGGGAAAATGAAGGGAACTCAAAAGGCCGAAAGGTGTAGATGTTTGTTCATCTCAAGGCTGTGGATTGCATCCAAGCCGCCTCTGGAAAAGGCCGACTCTGGAAAAGGCCGTTTCGCAGCGCCAGCAGAAGGTAACACAAGGCAAGCCAAGTCTGGCAATGATTGGCAGTTTCCCTCGGTCCAAGGCCAACCATTGCAGATATTCACAAGGGCGTCCCAAAAAGGTAAACACAGTCCAGACACTCAGGGAGAGAGACTTCAAAGGGACCCCCCTTTTTGGACGGCAAAGGGAAACTAAAAGGAAGCCAACTGGAAGGGTCCCTAACTGGGCCCTAACTTTTGAGAAACACTCGTGCGGTTACAACATGCAGTTCCCACAATGCACAAGGAACAGCTTGCGAAGTCTCCTGTTGGTTTTTGAAATGTACTGTGTCCCCCTCCGGAATGAACCAGAGACTGGATATTTGGATCAAGCTGCATGCTGGTTCGCCCCATCCGGCCTCATAAGCGACGTGTCGCAGGAGCTGCATCGTAGCTCGCTCGCGCCGGGCAATCCATGCAGCGAATCCGAGTGTCAAATTTGTTCATTCAAATACTCTTTGGAGTGTTTGGTGGAAAAGCAACAAACCACCACCTATTCGGCAAACTAGCACCAGGTATAATTGCTCACTCAGAATCTATAGCTCCAAAAAACCCCTCTAGACGAAAGGGTCGTAGAGTCGACTTTTCGCTTGGGGCTACTAAGTTGATGCCCTCTGATTGAGTGCGCAGGATGCCGCGCTCAGGGCCCATATTGCAGTTTGACTCTTTCGGTGGGAAACCCAGGACGTCAAGGGTGCCACTAAACAACTCGCTAGGTCTACGTTTGGGTGCCAACTTGCCCAAAATACCCCTAATCCTGGGTCCTTTGGCTGGAAAAAGCGAGAAAGCGCTCACACCCCAAAAAACCTGCAAGCCGCCTGAAAGTGGTCAGCTTTCAACTCGCCATGGGGCGCGTGCCAGATCCGCGCCGGAAAGCCGAAAGATCTCCGGCCAGCGACTGAAACAAGCGCCAGGCGGCCAAAGGTGCGGGCGCTTCCGAAACGCGAGAAAAAAAAGGAAACATGAGAAGTTCCGATTTGTTTAATCCAAAACATAAAACATAAAACACAAAGAAAATACAAAACAAGAGTTCCGATTTGCTTCTATCGTCCTGCTTATCTCAGAGAGACATGCCCCCAAACTCAGTGGCATTCAGACGGGGTACACAGAGGTAGTGCCCCGTTTTGGAGAGGTTCGATGGCGAACAACACTTGTTTTGTTTGCTTGCGTGCATCTCAAAATGGTCTTCCTTTCCAGCACCCCCCAATGGCTGGCCAATTGCCGGCACATCGATTTTGGGCAAAACGATGTCACTTTATGTCTAAGTGACTGCAAAACCAATTTGCTAGCAAGTATCACTCATCTGTACTTAGTGCAATTTGTGCAATGATACAAGTGACCTTCCAGGGTCCTTTGGAATGGGGTTGCAGGGGAAAGGGGAGAGCGGCAAATTTGAGGTTTAGAGGGCAAGTTTGAGGTTGGGAGGGGTTCTTGAGGAGCGTGTCACGGCGTGTCACGGCGTGTCGGGGGGTGGCCAATTGCAGGCACATGTACGTTGAACGGTCACTTTTTTGGGATGTGAGCGTGTCACTAGCGTGTCGCCCCCCCTCCCGCCCCCGCGCGTTGCATGTGCAATGATCATACATGTCAGCCCAACCCCTCAACCGGATCCTGTCTGGTATCCTGAAGTGACGTTTCAACAAAAGTGACTTTGCACTGCACTTTGATGATGGCAAAAAAGTCTATGTGACTACAAAACCATTTTTAAGCAAGTGCTGGTCAATTGCCGGCACTTCACCCAGGACGCCAATTACCGGCCATCGGGAGGGCCTGGTTGATATCCTTTGATTTCTCCCTTACCCCCTAAACTTCTTCCTGGGGTGGCCTCCAAGAAAACGGCCACCTTTCATCCCCATGGATTTTTCGACCAGCGGACCTGACTCGTCTCACTCGTCTCACTGGACTCATCGCTCGGTCGCTCGGTCGCTCGTCGGTCGCTCGGCTGCGCTGCCGGGCACACGGTCGTGGAGCCGAGGCTGTCGGTGCTCTCGAAGGCCTGCCATCCATAGGACACCTTGGGGAAATAGATGGCCCGATTGGAAATCCATGTAGCTCAACCATGTCCCAAATGCAAATCCAAAACACACACATCCAAGGTTCATTCTTGGCAAAAAACAAGAATTGCCAATAGTAGGGGACAGTTCCATTCTGATGGGAATTTCCGAAATAGATGGGTTTCCCTGGTAGATGATTAAACCACCAAGTAAACCAGGAATCGGCATCTATTTTTCGAGCAAAACCACCAAAAAGGACACCTATGCCGCCAGCGATTCGATCCGAAGCCGAAGCCGAGGAGTCACCGGACGGCTAGTGGGTCCGGGAGAAACGGATTTGTTCCCCATAAACCAGGAATAAACAAGGGTATTTTAACCCAACTAGGGGGGGGGGGGGGAAACTGGGATCCCGAACCCAAGTCCATGTTGGGCCCTTGGAGCTGGAACCAAAGGTTTCTTAACCCAGAATCTAGGGGGTGGGTTCAGAAAAACGGCGAAAGAACGTTCGGAAACCCTTTTGAGCCTTAGGCCTGCTGACTAGCTTCACCGAAGCCAATTTAACCAGCAGTGTCCAAACGACCCTTGACTTTGGACTCCAACATCCTGGACCTTCGTCCTTCTGAAAAACAAATGTAGTTTCCGCCTTTGACTGGATATTCGGGAATTCGTAGCACTTTTGGACGCAAAAACCTGAGACTCCTAAAACTCCTAAAAACACGCTATTGCAATGCTCGCGGCCTTTGACAGAGTAAAGGAAGGTTTGCAGGGGCAAACGACTGAATGAAGCCCGCAAGTTTGTCAAAACATGCAACGGCATTCCAAAGTTGTGCGGTGCAGAAAAACCGTACCCATTTTGACCGCAAACCGCCCGCAAATGTCCGCAAAACTCCCGCAAAAACCTGCAAACTCCCGCAAATCAGAAAAAGTCGTAGTTTTGATGATCAAGGCATCCCATGGTGTTCACTGGCACGTTGGCAAGTGCTGCGAGGTGTATTTACTTTGTACGGCCAATGCGCGACTGGAAACGACGCAATTCATATGTGTTTTTGCCCAAATTGTAGCTAAACCACTGGAATTCGGTAAATCGTAGGGGTCTCCTAAAACACCTAGAAATTTCCCCCAGTTTGAAGGTCCAGGATGGAGATGAAAGGTTAAATGCATGGTGTTTTTTTGAATGGACCCTTTTTGGGGTTTGAAGAGCAATCGTCGCGGGAAAACCCCGAATCTTTGGGTTTCGAATCCGAATAAAATACACCTCGACATACTACAATCCCCCAATGGTCGAAATGGAGAATATAGGGTGCTAAATCCACGGAGGGTTTGGTACTTCAAAGCACCACCCAATGGTCTGTTCAGAAACTCTTTGGTCTATCCCGGCTCTTTGGTATTCCCCTCCCATAGTGAAGCGACTCTCCACAAAACTTGGTTGACGTTGGAAGGGCAGCAGAAATTTATGTTTTAGCAGTTAAGTGGGGATTTCCCACTAAACCACAATATGCAAAAATGTAAAATGTTTCCCAACAACAACCATGAAAAAGGCAGGGGGGCCAAAATATTAACAAACCCGTGGCTCCCGTTCGTTCGGCGTACGTCTGAGACTTCGGTTTTGAGGGCACACTCCCTTGTTGTGGCTGCAATCGGGGTTCGGTATATGGAAATGGGCTGTTTGGAGGTTGCCAAGAGACCTCAAGGCAGTTCCCACCCCACGTAACGAAAGGTTCATATCCCCAGCTAGAAAGGCCCGGAGTGGACTTATTTACTCGGAATGCTATATGTAGCTGCCTGCTTCTAAGCGCTCAGCCATGTACAAAAGGCTCGGATTTACCCAAGGTGCTGCCTTTTCAAACAGGCACTCTAAATTTGACCACCCCTCCCGGAGTAACTCATGGACAAGCATCACGTATCCGTATTTGCGTGCAACAAAACGCAAAGCCCGCCGGGCAAGTGGCCTTGTAGGGCCCGACAAATTCACGTGGACACAATCCATTTGCAGGAAGGTAATCTGGTTTTAGCTGGGATCTCCCTCGAAATGATGTTTGCTCTATATATTTAAGGCGCCCATCATATTTGCAAACAACTGAGGTCACAAACCTTCTCAGGCCGGAAGGTAGAAGTCTCGCCTTCATGCCGCATGCAAGGGAGGGCTGGCGAGCGCACCTGCCCATCGTCTTGTCGTCTTCTACGAAGAACTTCGATCTCACCCGTGCGGCATGCTTGTTGCCGTCGCCCGGGCATGAGGCTTCCTCTTTTGTATCTCCAGGGATCGTTACAGGCATGTGCGGCTTAGTAGGTGTCGTGTGCGAAAGTCGCGTCTTTCAGCCACTCATCCGCCACTCTGCGCGTCACCTCCGGTCGTTCGTTTCCGTTGGGCAACATCCATAAGCTCGAAGGGTTCAGCTCGAACCCTTTTGTGTCTGCAACACTGCCAGGCCTCGAAAACGAGTGGCAAGCCTCTCTCCAAATCCCGACAGAAAAGTTCGAACTTGTTGAACCTCACAACCAATCCATGTTGAGCAACGGAATCTCCTTGTGGGGGACTCCCTTGAGGTACTCCCAAATAGATTTTGAAGCGGAGCCTCGAAGAACTGGAAACAACTGGGAAATAGGATGCAAAGAGTTCACGGATCCACCTAAAAACAGCCAAGGATCCACCAAACACCAGCCATGCAAGGACAAAGACCCTCCTGTAATGGGAACTGTGGATTTAGCAGAAGTCCTAGTTGATGTTCATCGGGGGTGTCCCCGTTGGTGGGGCTTCAGATAACTTTGGGAGGCATCCCCGCTATTAGTAGGACATGCAGGTTTAGCAATCCGTTGCATCAGCGACAATACAGGAACTCCAAGTGAGGCTACATCAAGAAACCAAGAAAACGACAAGCTCAAAAAAAAACTCAAAAAAAAAAAAAACAAAAAAAACAACAAACCAAAGAATCATCAAACAAACGCAAAAAAGAGCAACCAAACGAACGAACGAACCAGCCAGCCCGCCAGTCAGCGAACCACCCAACCCAACGACCAGCCACCCAACCCTTCAACCCCAAATCACCCGAAGAACCACGCTTTTCTCCCGCGGATAGCGAGCGGGGTCTCCCTGGCGCCTCTCGCATCAATGGGATGGGGCCTTTGTACAGCCCCGAGATCTTCCCAGCCTGCAGTCACTCGACTTTGGTAAATCGCCCACTGGACTGGATGCTCCTTGAGTCTCCTTGAGTCTCCTTTGGGTGATGTTTGAGGAAACAGGGTGACCTTTTCAATTCTGCTTTAAGGGGAGAAAGCATAGGAAAGCTTGTTGAATACTCCCCTCGGGGTGATGTTTAAGGCGAGGAAACACAGGGAGGCCTGTTGAATACTCCCCAGATGCGTGACGGGGTGATGTTTAAGGCGAGGAAACATAGGAAAGCCTGTTAAATACTGTCCAGGTGAACGGAAGCCCAAAACAGAAATC